AATTGTTTACATTAAACTATTTTATTATCCATGTGGGTAAAAAATAGATGTAATATCAACAATCACCCTCAATTTAGACTATATAGATTAACGAAAATTGCTGATGAAAAAAATATATGGTATTTTTGTTATTTATTTATGTAGAGACTTGTAAATCCTTTTATTTTTCGTCAGAAAAAAGTACTTCCTTTTTTTCTTTCAATTCTGCGCACATTTGTATTGTTTTGATAAAAACCAACACTCAAAACTTGTTGCACACAAAGTAAACCGACTATACATTGTGACTAGATTTTTACAATTAATCTGAATTCAAAGGAAAAAGAACGAATAATGAAACATTTAACTATAACAACAATTCATTTTCACTCACTCTATTTTGAATTTAAGCAACTATAGTCATGGTAAGCATGTTACAGGTAAGCAATGAATAGATTTACTATCGATATTCTGATCAACTCGGTGTTATTTAAAAGATAGTTGGTTTTTCTCATACGAAAATGATTTATTTCTATCAACAAAACTAAATAAGGTGAAACATCATGAAATATCGATAAATTTTTTTTGAAACAATGATTAAAATAGAGAAGATATCATGTTGAATCACAAAGTTTTCAACTTAATATGAAAATATTCAAGAAAAATTTTTTATATTGTACATTATTAATAGTATAGTGCTATTGTGAATAAAATGAGTAAAATAATCTGATGTAGAGTATATTAATTTTTTTAATCATCGTAAATCATCTGATAGTTTTACTAGTAAATAATTGTTTTTTTGAATTATAGAAGACTTGGTATTTTCTGTTTGTGATTTCCATCTTTATCATGTGTTATTTTTCTGATGGTTTACTAGCTAAACAAGGTATGTTACTTTATGAACTATAATGTCATATGAATAATATTTGTACCACAGAGACTGCTTTGAGAATGCCGTCAGGAAGTGACTTTTTAAAACGATACAAACGTCAGGCACAGTATTCGACATCGACTACACTCCTTTGTATGTGCTTTTGTGGGTGCACTACTACGTCAACATCAACATCAACAACATCAACATCGTTAACATTAACAACAACATCAACAACAACAACAACAACAACATCGACAACATCAACATCGACAACATTAACATCGACTACATCAACGTCGACAACATCAACATCGACAACATCAGCAACAACAAGTACGACATCAACGACTTCAACAACATCGACAACATCATCATCGACTACATCAACAACGTCAACATCAACAACTACAACGACCACAACATACGACCCTGCCTGCATGTGTCCATGTGCATGTACGACATCGACAACGACAACAACAACATCAACATCGTCAGCATTAACATCAACGTCAACGACAACATCGTCATCATCGACAACATCAACGACAGCATCAACATCGACAACATCAACATCGACAACATCAACATCGACAACATCAACAACATCAACAACATCGACAACATCGACAACATCAACGACAGCATCAACATCAACATCGACAACATCAACCTCAACATTGTCGACCACCACCACCACTTCAACACTCTCTATCTCTTCAACTACAAGCAGTACGGCATCATGTGAGTAGAATTTGGAAAATGGTTTTGTATTTCAGAACATGATTCGTCTGTTTAAGGATAATATTTGTCGCTAAGTACAGCTGACTTAAAACTGTAGTAGAAATCTTAAAAGGGTGGGTGTGGATGTTGGTGAGGATGTGACTGCCCGATTAGTATGATACTCGCACCCACACCATATACTAAAAAAAAGTTTTCATATTGTACTAATTTATTTTAGATCAAACTACACAAGCACTCAATTATTCCTGTGTTGTAAATGATAGTACCATTCAAATAGAGTTATCAACTTTGTCTCATTCTGCCGCACAGTCAGCATCGAATTGTTCTTTAAAACAACATAATGCCAGTTTGACTAATTGTGCCGTGTCGAATCCTTCATTAACACCATGTTTTGATTATCGCACATTTGATAATAGCAGCTATGTGGCACCTGGTATCCTGTGTTCGCTTTTAGAACCATGCAACAATATTACACTTACTTGCGCATCAAATAGTTTTGTTTGTGTAGTCAATTCATGTTGTTCACCACAGGCGATATGTTTACCGTTGGTATTGACAAGACTTTGCATAATAATTCCTTGATACATTCAATTTGACGAAGACTGTTCATGCCCCTTTCGATATTAACCTATTTACTTAGAAATATATTTCCCCTCCCCACATCAACCTATAATAAAGCATTTTATGAACTAATATTTTTTTTAATTGTTTTCTTTGTTCAAAATGGATACCATCTTGAAAATGTGGATAATCAATATTTCAGTTTTCATTGCAACAAAAGAAGAGTATGCATTACAAAAACAACGGCGCTTTTTTGATCAGATTAGGGTGTGGGTGGGTGTGAATGTTGATGTGGGTGTAAATGTCGGTTTGGTATGAGTATTATATCCATCGCACACCCGTCAGGACAAGAAGTGAAGTATTAGGAAGACAAGTACTGGAACGAAAAATATAACTCAGACATGCGCAATACTGAACAATAACATACCGTCAATCGGGTTACAGAAGAGCGTGGTGATCAACGTCAAGAAAATGAAAGAGCGATTCAATAGCGTCGGGATGATGAATATCGACAACAATAGCGTCGTTATTAAGAAAGAATGGCAATACGTCGACGAAAGAAAAAAACGTACTTGTCCCTAATAAACATTTATTTAATTTATTATAAATATTAAAGCATTTTCTATGTATTATCTCATTTATTAAAAAACAAGAATTTTAACATTTAATAAAGCTCAATAAAATCCGTTTGTAAAATAAACGCTAACATTTTAAACATTTTCTTCTATCTTTTGATATATTATAGTAGACAACAAGATAGCCAATTTGCCTTTTGATTGTCAACACTTTGAACAGTAACATTCAGCGCATGTCACTATTATTGGATAACCATTTTTCGCCATACTTGTCCATGCTGTTATCATTTATATATTTAATATTATTTATCATAGATTTTTCTCTTAAATTTTCAGTATAGTTTTCAACAAAGTTAATTTTAGTAAATGTTTATTACACATTCAAAAGACATACTCCATATTCTTCATCAATCACAAAAAGAATCACGAAATAACAAACATTGAACATGCAATATCATTCATAGCTAGACCTTCTGATTGATTTGGATGAATTTGATTTTGTCGACAATGATTCATATAAAAATCATACAGCACATGGTTAGCTTGTCGACGAAATCGTTTCGATACACAAAAATAAGTATAGAATGAATTCTACAATAAAATAAAATAATATTATTTTCTATGTAAAAAGATTCTAATTTTTCTTACTCCATTTGATAAAATATTAATAGTAAGTGTAATAGCATTAATTAAATTGAATTGCGCAACAAAAATAGGATCACGATCTGTACTTAATGATATAAATCCATTCGTAATTGAATATGGTACTTGTGTACAAACATAAACACAAATTTTGACAAGAACCATAATTGTTAATTGTTTATCTAATTCACGTCGAACAAGTGGATTGACTCTAGGGTGTGGGTGTTGGTGTGGGTGTGAGTGTGTAGATAGGAGTACGTAAGAACTACTCACACCCACACTCTCAAGATTTTAATCGAGGAAATATACAAAGCTTCATCATGCATATTGTTGATAAATCAGAAATCTTTTTTTTCATTTGTTTGCAACTAATTTTTTATAAACATATTCATCGCGTTTTTTTCAAATATAAAAAATCGACAATAATATACAATGTGAGTAGTACTGACCTCTTTCTTTTCGGTCTGTCGATTAGTTCAGTCTCTCCACCGTCCATCTTGAGGGTGCGGGTGTGGATAGTTATATCCTCATATACCAACACCCACACCCACACCACACTTTGGTTTGATCATAATCTGACAATTAGTGTATATTAATATTTCATTTTAATTATCGTTAAGAATTTTTACAATGAGTTTGATGATGTTCAATGGAATAATTGTGGTATTTTAATAAATAATTATTGACTATGGCGTAATGTTAAATCTATTGAATTATGTTCACAAAGAATAAACAGCTTATATTTTATGAAAGAACTAAAATTTAAAATATCTAAATTAGTTTTGATTCAAATCATTGTTAGAATACAAATGAAGTAATACACATACTTGTAAATAGAAATGAAACTATAATAATAGATAACGTATAATAAACAAGTTGTTTCAAAAGAATTGACTAAGATAATAGAAAATGAATGAATTAAGTGGGAACAAATCTCTTATATGCATGATGTTGTCTATTTCTGTTGTTTGTATTCATATTGTAATTGGGGTTTTTCTCAGTGTATTTGTTTGTGCGCGCTCTTGCAACATCATTTTCTGCCATTTCTGCTCTGCAGCTGGGTTTTTTTTCAGTGTATTTATTTGTGTGCGCTCTTCAAAGTCGACGCAGTTCTCAGAAAATTAGTGTACATTTGCCGCATATATATAAATAGAAGCTCGGAATTTTATTCGATCTTCATTGCGATAGAACGGTGAGTACAGTTTAACATGTATTACTCTTTCTATTTATTGGACGCATGTTTTTCTGTGAGTTGTTTGTAGAGCTAGGG